TTTAAAGTGACGACCAAGTGGCCAGAACGGCCGACAGAGTTGACCACATTTGATCAATTTAACCTTCTCAATTCAACACTTGACTTGCCTACAATAAAATTCATAGATATAAAACATTTCAAGCACATCACAATGTTAGTTTAAACGTTTAAGCTAGATAAATGTGCGCTGTTAGGTGCATATCCAAGTGTTTGTGCAGAGTGTGAAAGCTAAAGCCCGCTTAATTCATTTCTCTCTGAAGGCGCATCCACTGTACTGCGGAGACTTTGTAGAAAACGAAGCGTTTGAGAGAGGCGGGGCATAGAGGACCTACAATAATGTACAGTATTTGAAAAATAATGTGTTTTTTGAACATTAAAGCATGTCAACATATTCTGTTACACCAAATACACAAAATAATGATCTTTAAAAAAGCATCATATGACCCCTTTAAAGTGAAACCTGCTGCATAAGCAACAGTGCATATTATATGTTCATTGTTTAAAATGCCGCTTACTAATTTATAAGAAGGACCCAAGTAGAGGACGCATACGCAGTTACTTTTTTTGGTTGATAATTCTTATGTGTAAATGTATTATTTCCTTTTCATTCTTTTTTCAGATTCATTTAAATTTGTAGTTAAAATAACTAAAAATAAATGTATTTTAAAGTTTAGAATTTGACAGCCTTTCGAGAGTGTAGGCAATTGGGCTGAGCCCAGGCACATAGGCTTACACTGGTAACTCATCAGTGGACTTTCCTCATCAATATAGGCTATATTTTTTCACACTTTTCTCATTCTCCCTAACTAGGGAACCGACTATCTTCAGAAATGTTTCGATGGCATTTTCATTTTATCTGATAAAGTAGCCTTTATACTTTGTTTACAGCCGTTTCCGGGGAAACTGCTATATTTCTGATGTTCCAAAAGCGCCTCCTACTGGCAGAGAATGAATGTGCATTTTCAATAATCACGTCTGCCATTTGTATTCAGACCAATGCGAAAATCCACCCACATAACCCCATTTTAAATGTATATAATAATTTATACTTCTGACTCATCCCTTTTCTTTTAAAAACAATGGGTTAAAGGCTTAATTGTGAGGTTTACCATTTTATAATTTATTTTGTTTTTGTATCTTTTTCTGTATCTGAAGTGTAAATCAATTGCTATTACGTGGTCTACAACATAAAAGAAAGACAAAATAACATGTACATGAAAAATGTAGAAACATTTGTAGACAAATGTAGACACAACTATGGGGCACCATTGTGCAGCAGCAAGCATCACAACAAAAAAAGGAACCTCAAGGATGATCTAGGTAAATGTGTGCAAATGTATAGGGACCCATTCCTATATTTTGCCTGGGGCCCCCACTTCACTAAATCCACCCCTGATTAATTTATATTCAATTTATAGTTTATACATATACAATTTACAGTTTATGTGAAGACTGTCTTAATTTCACTTAAAATTAAAAGTTGTTATATTTTTCAAAGCCCATTAAATGTTTAAAATAATGGCTTTCAATTATACTGTAATGTTGAATGGCTATAAGTAATGGCCAAAAATTAGGGAAAAAATCAATTTAATAGAGACATCAGTAGCAGGATTGCTATCAATGATACTGGCCTTAGGAAAAAGATGCCATTAAACACGCATTTTAAATATACCATCTTTATGTTGTTTCTACATTAATTTGGAAATTATGACAATATAAATATATTGTATTAATATGCAATTAATCATGATTTATTACATAAAAATGTGTAATTAATTAGTTTTTTTAATCGATTGAGAGAACTAATTTTGTTTGTTTGTTTTTATTGTTTCTACATACAAATCTGCTAGCCAGACGCTCAGTACATTGCCTCACTGTGATTATACTTCTCAAAAGAAAGAGAGATGGCATATAGTTCCACAAAAAAACATAGAGACACATACTATATTCCTCTATTTTTTTCTGATTTTTCTGATTCCTCAGTCTCTCTCTGGCCAGGGACATCTCCTGCTACTATTATGAGTGAGCACTGAGACACTGGAGAAAGAAGAATAAAATTAAAGTCATTATGTTATTATGTTGCATTATGTTATTCAGGGATGAAGCCTGCTAGTATCCATCATGCATCATAACAGATGCCCGCTCCTGATCGATCTAATAGATCAGTGGTTCTCATCCCTGTTCCCGGAATTTAGGATCACAGATGAGCTAGTAATTACATCAATAGCAATCGTGGACAATCTGTGGAATTATAAATGTAAGTGTCACAAGGAAACACTTGCATCACTTGGATTCTATTTACAATTGTATTAAAGCTGTGATTTAGTATATTAGATGCTGAGCTACATGATTACACAAAGTGCCCTACACACTATAAATATGAGGTCACACTCTACCTTTCCAATGTGATGTAATTAGTATTTTTATTCGTGTGTAAAATGCAGCTCTAACACATACATTTATTTATTTATTTATTTATTTACATTTGAACACAATGATTTTGTAATAAATTGTCCACTGGAGGCAAGTGTAGTGATAACCCAAGTGCAGTATTTATGAAACAGAAACGTAAGCAAGTTACAAAACAAACATAATCCATGAAATAAACAAAACATGAACATGAACTCACCAACAGTGGTTACATGAACAAAGCTAAACAAATGGACAATGAAACATGAGGGCTATATTTAGCAAACAAAGGGGTCACATGATACAATGCAACTAATGAGAACTTGACATACAACAAAGGAACCAATGACAACAAGACACATGAACAAAAGGACCACATGGCAGGATCACATGACAGGATCAGGGAAACACAAGACAATGACAAGAGAACACAAAATAGAAGGCAAGAAACCCCAAACAAGAAACAAAACCCAAAAACCCGCAGAACATATACCCCGCCTCTAAAGGTGGCTCACACTCTAAAGTAACACCAGCCCCAACCCAAACAAAACTCAAAAAGTCCAGGAGGGTAGTGGAGCCGAGGCGGAACAGGGGGAGGGATGGAGGTCCAGGCCAGTGAAGGGGAACAGGACCTGGATCATGGAATGGACTGTGGAGCAGTGGTGGGCCTGGACCGTGGAACAATGGCATGTCTAGACTGTGGAGCAATGATGGAAACCATGTACTGTGGAACAGTGGGCAAAGACCATGGGCTGTGGAGCAAAGGTGGGCCTGGACCGTGGAACAAAGACTAAAACCATGGACTGTGGAGCAGAGGTGAACCTGGACCAAGGAGTAGGGGAGGACCTGGTCCGTGGAGCAGTGGCGGAGACCATGGTGGAGCAGGCAGAGCAGGAAGCCAGGGCGAAGCCGAAGACCACCAGGGCAGAGCAGACGAAGCTGAAGACCACCAGGGCAGAGCAGACTGTGAGTTCAGGGACGGCTTCTTTGGCCGTGATAGGACAGGCAGAGAGTTCAGGGATGGCCTCCTTGGCCATGACCACTGTGGTCAAAATGGGACAGGCAGGAAACTCACAGGCTAATGTCAACACAGGACTGAGCTCTGGGGCTTGAGTGGGCTCTGGAGCGGATTCATGGACTGAAGCAGGCTCTTGAGCGGATTTATGGACTGGAGAGGGCTCATGGACTGGAGAGCAGTTTGCAGCCCATGCGCACAAGATGCAGCCGCATTGCTGGAGCTTGGGCCAAGAGAGATAAGACTAATGGCCAGTGATATGGATCCAGCAATGATGTCAGTGCGAGCGGCTGGCATCCCGGTGGTCTCAACACTCTCAAACCCCGCGGCCTCAGCGCTGTCCAGCCCGGAGGTCCTCCCTCCGTCAGCTGTACTGCCCATGATGGCGGTATCGCTGGAGCTTGGGTACTATGACAATATTTAATTATCTTGGTTGTGGAAGTTTGTGAATGAAATGTCTGGTGAGTGGCACTAAATGTTTAATGCTCTATCATGTTTGAAAATAACATAGTACCTACCCTAAACCGAACACAAACAGATTGTGTTAACAAAAGCAAAAGTCAGATAAAAAATGCATTTACTGGAGCAACCATGACATTTTAGCAAGTCTTTTAGCTTTTTTCTCATGACTTGTTTCACTCATACCCAAGCTCTTCACATCGCAAGTTCAATGTTGTACCAGGTGAACAACAAAACAAGTTTTCATGTGGTGCTGGGGAGGCTCCAGGATTTGCTTGAAAACCCCTGGTGTAAACTAGTAGTGGTAGTAGTAGTAGTTTTAGTAATAGTAGTAGCAAAACTCTCATAAAAAAATTTCTTTATAAAAAAATTTTTTTCTAAAATGGTTGGTGTGATAGTAAGGATATCAGTATTGGTGACAGTGCTTCTGTTATAAAAAATATTTATATATATATATATATATATATATATATATATATATATTTACAGTGCAACTGTAAAACTACAATACTAATATTTACAACTATCTTAATTTTGTTAAACCATCAAACTTGTATTTTGGTGGAAAATTGTAGGGAGCCCTTAAAGCTTCCCTTCTGTTGACAGCAGCCGGTTCATAAGCACTTCACATTGCTTAGGAAAATTATCAGTGCATGTTGTGTTCCCAAATGCATAAGTGAACCAGGCTCAGAGCAGATGTAGAGATGAGTTCATGTGGAGCAGCATTTATTGTGAACCGAATAG